TTCCACAGGAGAGACAGGACTTTCTACTCCTGTACAGAGTGACAGTCTCAGAAACTCATAGGAGCAGTTGTACCCTGTCTCATAGCGTTGTTCCACAGGAGAGACAGGACTTTGTACTCCTGTACAGAGTGACAGTCTCAGAAATGCACAAAGGCAGATCCAACCTGTCTCATAGCGTCTATATTAGTTGGAATCGATTCAATGACAGTGAGTTGACTTTTGGGCTTTGGGAAACAATCAAGAAAGTAACTTTTCAATGAAGATGATACAAAATGATAAAAATCAAATTGAATCGGAGAAGTTGCCTTTTCTTTGACAGAAAAATAATTTTATAACTAGTATTTCAAACTAAATTCTAGTTAAAGGTCTCATCTAAATATTAGCTAAGTGACTTCCAAGTTTCCCATAACATAGGATCAGTTTGTAGTTAACCTCACTGCCATAGAATCAGTTCTGACTCAGAAGTCCTATATCCTACACACTCAGAGAGTCCCCCGGGGGTTCCCAGGCTGTGAATTTTTAGGGACTAGATAGCCTCCTCTTTCTCCTGTGGTACAGCTGGTGAGTGTGAACCACCACCTCTGTGGTTGACAGTCCAATGTCTACCCAATAGCGCCACCAAGGCATTTTAACTAGTAGTTATGTCATGAAAGAAAATATTTCATATTTATGGAGTGCTTCACAATTTCGATTTTTAAAAAATTTTTTGGTAGATAATCAGTGAGGTGGATGTTCTGGTTCCCACTTTAAAAACCAAGGTTTGGACAAGTTGGGTGCCTTCTACGGTCTTGGCGGCAGGGCTGGTCCTTAAGAAAACTCAGCAGCACAAAGGTCAGAGGGCAGAGAAGGCGTCGTAGGAAAAGCAAGAGGTTACTTCCTCAATGTGGAGGACCTGCTTGGAGGGCATCCAGGCTCCTGAGGGGCACCCATGCACTTCCCTTTAGGGGTGGCACCGAGCACCCACGCCCCCCAGCCATGTGTGAAGTCCCTGCCCCTGAGAGACATTGAGTAGTTAGGGTAGGTGGTGGTGGTGGTGGGGGGACGGACCCATGACTCAGGGCCATTTGCACGGTGAGGAGGGGTCAGGTGGCCTTTGTTTGTACAGCATGTCCTGAGGCAGTTTCTCCACCCCCTGAGCACCCGTTTCTTTACATAGGAACACCAACAGCTCCAAGGTGGGTTTGTGGGGAGACTGAAATGAGATCACTCCCAGGACAGGCACGTGGTCACACGCTCTCTCCCCTCCCTTGGCCAAACGCTCAGGAACCCCCTAGCTTCTCTCCCCAGGTCAGTCACTCAACAGGTGTTTCCAGAACACCTGGAACCCTAGAAATAGACGCGACCGGAATAAGAAGGAGGCCTCCCAAACTCATCTTTCCCACCCAGCTGTCCTGCCTGGACCAGTGTGAAGAGAAATCAAGGAAAAGGGCCGAGCGGGATGCAGGATGGCTTCTGGCATGGGATTGTAGAACGCACCTGGTGATGAGCCTCGTTTTCGTGGAGCGCGCCGTATTCAAAGTCCCGAATGAGCGCTCGAGCCGTCAGCTTGTGAATCATCTAGGCGGAAGAGGCAAAGGCGTCCAGTGGGTCCCGAGGACGGACTTCACAGAGAATACCATGCTTTGAATAGAGGCCTAATCGATATACGTATATCAAATGCTCCCTTTTCAATATAGTTCGGTGACCTTAAAAACAGGCATGCCATTGCACAGCCACACCGAGGTAAAGACAAAGCACATACAAGCCGAGCTTTCTTCATTTGAGAACACTCTCTGTGCCCCTCGAGCCAACCACGGATCTGTTGTCTGACCCGATTTTGCCTTTAAAAAAGTTGTGTTTTTTTTTAATTTTTATCATGACATGAGTTCAAGCTTGTTTCTCAAGTTTAAAACCGTTCTTTAATGTAGATGGAGCGAGCTTGGTCCCCACGTTCAACATCAACAGGCTCTGAAGAGCAAGAGCCGCAAAACATGGCAGCACGAGGGTGCCCCTCCCCTTTCTCTTAAACAACTAAGAAAAGTCAACCTCCACTGAAGGGCAGTACCTGTTTTCAGTAATTCCATGTCTTGTAATTTTGGTGTTGATAGGTCACAGTTCATTGAGGAATTGTGACTATTAAAATTGTTATTTAATGAAAAGACCCCCTCTCTCCCTGTTAGATTTAATGTTTTTAAAGCTAAGAGGCTTTAAGTTCTCGCTTCGCTTAAGTTCTACACATAAATCACTGGCAAGTAATAAGTCAATGTGGTTCAGTGCCAAAAATGAAGGTGTATTTCATTTTGCTAAGTTCCAGCAATGACTCTGGAATGGGTTATTTGGTGCCATGGACATGTTAGCAGTCCAAATGCTATCAAGGCTCCTTAGCTAGTATTGAAGATATATAAATAATTTTCAAAGTCAAACTATAATGGATTCAGTACTTTTGCAAACACTGCAAATTTGAGTGATAATTCATTTGCTCTTAATCCCTAAAAAGAAAAAATATATATTCTCAACATACGATATAGTTTAGTCTTATTAAAAAAGGTAGGCTTAATATCATTCTTAAAAAGGAGAGAGACCAGAAGCACTTAGATTTTATTGAATCATGGCCATCTTTGCGATGTCCCCAGGAAACTTTTCATTCATTAAAGACCACATGTAATTTTAGTTACTCACACCTACGGAAGCCCATCTGCGGATCTAGCACCCCTAGTTAAGACCCCTCTGCATTACTAACTGAAATAAGTTGTTTTTCTTTCTGCGATCCTACTGCAGATTGAAATTTCAGCACGGATAAACAACAAGAGGTCAGTACATGAAGCCTCACGTGTTAAAATATAAAAAACGACAAATTGGGAATACGGGTTCATAGTTCAAGCTTTAAAACTCACAGTTCCAGTTGTCTTCTGAAGTTCTGTAGTGGACACCATTGTACAAAATTCTTTCTCTTGAAATAATGCACATAGAGTTGCCTGAATTGGAGCGAAAAACAAAACTAAACTAAAACCAATTTCTTATTACTTTTTCCTACTCCACGGCATCTTCATCCCTCTAACAGTGGTTCTCAACCTTCCTAATGTCATGACCCTTTAATACAGTTCCTTATGTGGTGGGGACCCCCCCCAACCATAAAATTATTTTCGTTCCTACTTCATAACTAATTTTGCTACTGTTAGGAATAGTCCCCTGTGAAAGGGTCGTTCGACCCCCCAAAGGGGTTGCGACCCACAGGTTGAGAACCGCTGCTCTAATCTGATTCCCCCTCGAGACGAGAGAGATTTAAAGACTCTCCAGCAGTCCTGGAAAAGCACCAGCTATTTCTCGGTGGGAGAATTTTCCAGCATCTGATGATTTGGAACTGAAAACCCACACCAACTCACTGCCGTCGAGCTGATTCCTACAGGTCAGAGGCGAGACCACTACCGTGGTGGGTTTCGGAGGCTGGTACTCTTTACCAGCCCCACCTTTCTTCCCTGGAGCACTAGCGGCTTCAGACTGCCCACTTTGCAGTGAGTAACCTAATGTTGAACCCACTATGCCACCAGGGCTCCTGATGATTTAGAAGGGGATGGAAAAAGAAAGCCCATTCATAGCAAGATACATCTCCCGCCTTAGAACCAAACAAAAGGCGTGGCTCTGTACCTGGGTGCAATGAGAAATAAACCCGTAGACGAGGAGGCAGTCGTTGCGGAACAAGGACTGCACCTGGGCAGGTGCCTGCAAGGGCTCCAGGGAGTTCATGCTTAGCTGCTGCCATTTGATGGAGACCGAGTGGCAACCCGGAGAGCGCAGTCTCCTCATCTGGTCTTCTATCTGTTTACAGAAGAGCAAAGAGTCCTTTTTCAGCCTGACTTCCAGGACCCAGTTCTCACAGTGCTATCAGCATTTAAAACAAACCCCACACTCAAGACTTTAGGATGGCTGCTCTTCATTTTATTTTCCTTCTTCCTGCCACTGGGTACTTTTCTTTAACAAAACTATATAGAACTAAAGAAAAAAAAATAGCACTAACACATAAGTGAGATTTTAAAAACGTCCTAACATGATTCATCACTAATCATTACCACGCAGCTCTAAGACTGGAGTAGATTCCAGTGACACAAATGCATGCTAACAACACATGCGTAACTCTTTTACGTTCCAAAAATCGACCCACGGGCTTTCTAAAGCACACGTCAAATTATGAGCTTGGAGAGCGGGTCAGTTAAGTATTGACCATGTTCCTGATGGATGCAGGTGGTCAGACCTCCAGCCACGTCAGCCTTTTCATGGCTCTTCATTCCGCTAATGCAAGCACTAGAGTTACCGTCACTAGTATTGGAAGATCACGTTCCCACTTGTATAAAACAGAAGATTACAATAAAAGATGTTTACCAAATCATACCTGGGTTTTCCAACTGTGCTTGGATTTTGAGTTAAAATACTCAAACACTCCGGCACCACACTGGGACAAAGTCCTTAAGATATGATGATTTGCTGTGGAACTAATCACATTGCACAGGTTTGAATTTTCAAGACATTTTAGAAAACAATTTGAGTCCATGTTTACAAGATGACAAACCCTAAAGCCGAGTAAGAGAAGCATTACATGAAGCAGAGTTTCCTCATCTGGATTTGAGGCTGGAGACAGAAAAGTGGTAACAGACAAGAGGATACCTTTGAAGCTTTGGGTAATTTTAGCTCCCATGTAAAAGAAGGCTAGCTTATCTTTGACAGAGAAATAAGGAAGAGGTAGGAATTTTGAATTCTGATTTACCAAAGGATGGAGTAGATGATTTCAGAAACGAAACAAAACAAAAACTCTCAGAGGTGTCAGCATGCTGACAGGGAGATCAAATGACTTCTGATGGATGTCTGAGTTACCAGAACCTGATCCCAACGCCAAGGGCAGGCCAGCGAGTCTACATCTGACAGTTGGAGAGAGTGCTCCTGGAGAGCACTGGAAAACCTTCTATTTTACACAGCAAGAATCCCATTAATTTCACTCAGTCATCAAGAATGCCTTTTTACCAGGCTTCTTCCAGAAATCAAGAAGTGACCCATTAATTTTCAGAAACATTGCTTAAATGTAAATGTATTTTACATTTTTAAATGTAAAGTGTAACTTTTAAATGTAAACATTTACAATAATGTTTTATTTTAAACATTGCTGAAACAGAGTTTGGCCTTTTGGCCTCAGAATGAACAGGTAATCGTGCTGATGACAACATTCCGAAGATGAAGTGGATCCGTATGGTCTTGATGTTGTTCGTTTGTACTGTCTTGTTTTCTAGGCAGAGGCATTTAGTAAAAAGCATAAAAATGGGTAAAATCATGAGACCGGCACTTCCCTCAGGCTGAGTCACATAACTAGCACAGTACCGCCTCTTCAGGGGAGACTTCCTGACTGGGGTCTGAACAGACACTGGCCCCACTCAGCCTCACTCACTCTGGGTCACATCTTTTGGAACTTAGATGGGTCTCCTGTGATGTCACACCCCAGTGGCTAGCCCAGCCTAACTTGTGATAAGCTCTAAGCAAATAAGACAGAAACAAACAAACCACCTGTTGCTGTCTGAGCCAGGGCATCTGAGCCATGCTTACTGGCACAGCCTGGGCTTCTCCACTCTGTGGCAGTGTGGCATCTGGAGGGGGGTGCGGGGCTGGGGAGCAGCTAGTATTGCCACACTAGAAGATTTATTGGCATTCAGGCTGGGCACTTCCAGGGGAGACAGAGGACCCATCTCTGTGGCAGGGACACACCCCAGGTTCACAGGTGCTAGCTAATCACCTAGCATCCTGTGACTACAGATTCTAGCTGCATTCGCAGCACAGGTAATACAATGAGTAACTCGGGCTCTAGCTGAGAAACTCTTTTATGTCCAAGTGACAAGCAGCCTAGGAGGGACCTTCAAATACTGTGAGGGAAAGTTGAACTCAGATCAGGGGACTTTCCTCTGAACTTTTGGAAGCCCTTCCTTGCAGGACAGTGAGTGAGTATGGCTCTTCTAACCTTAGTCTCTGTAACCCTCAGCCAGCTTTTCTGCTGGGTCTGGGGGAGGTGGGGGCAGATGCTGACGAATTGCATTATTCAGCTGTGGGTGATGGTCATCCTGCTGGGTACAAAGTGAGCCCTCTCCGAAGCAGAAGGAGGGATCTCACTACCAGCAAAAGGGAAGAGCCAGGAGGGGAATGAGTCTTTCAGGACTTTAAGCTTCCCCCCTTCCCCCCTCCCCCCACATCCCCTCCACCCCCATCCCCATGTATGGAACCTCTTTGATCCAGGAGACAATTCTGACACAGGAGCGGCAAAGGAGCAGCCACCGCAGAACCAGGACCCAGGCCTGAGACAGACCACGGAGCAAGTAAAACTGAGTGCTTGGGGCAGGAGGCTAGCATGTGGAGTGGGGTGCCTCTGGGCACTTAATTTGGGGAGCTGGGCTTGCTGACCCACAGAGCTGGAGCTGGGTGCCTTCAGGTTGAGGTTTCCAGCGGAGTGGCATGCCACTTGGGCATTTGTGAGCAGAACTTTGACACGTGTCTTGACTGAACGACTGTATCCTGAGCGTCTCTCTTCTGGATTTTTAAGGAAGCTGTTAACTTCCTGAATAAGCCTCACAGCCGGGAGTGTTGTCTGAGTTCTGCGTGGCCCCTTGTAATGGACGGACGATAGAACCTCTCTGAAAAGTAGAACAGTCCGCCCCTGTAGGAAGTGTAACTTAATCCTATACATCTGATTTGGGCTGGGAGGCTTGATAGGCCTTGGATTACAGAGGCAGTCTGGGCTCAGAGGCTTCCCTCACGCCACCCCTGGCCCCTCCAGCTTTTAGGTACTAGTATAAGGTGACCAGATTTAAAGCAGGACACTGTTGACCGGGGTGGGGGGGTGGTGGTGGGGGTGCTCTTGATTAAAAATGTGGTCTATATGGACCAAATAGAACGTTCCCTAGCTTGTCGTGCATTCTCTCCCCAAATCGGGACTTTTTAAAAATGCCCCAAATCGGGACTGTCCCGCCAAGGGACATCTGGTCACCTTACACTAGTATCCACTTCAACACTTCCCTGAATCCTTGTAAACCGACCAGAAAGCCTGTCCCCAGGGCACTCACCCAGTGCCACAGGTGAACAACCTGGTGTGCTGGACATGTCTTTTCAGCAGCTGGAACGTTAGGGTCTCTTGCTGGATGTGCCCGTCGGATATCAGGAGGATGTTCCGCCGTCCTTGAGAAGGGTACAGCAAATTTAAATAGCGGAGAGTTTTCCAGAAATCTGTATTACCCATGGTGGGAGTGGCAGCCTGGAAGAAATGAGGCCAGAGTTGTTTACTTGTCATTGGAAATCTTCACCCTTAACTATCATTTCCTGAAGAACACGGAGCCCTGGTGGTCTAGTGGTGATGTTGGGCGGCTAACCGAGGGGTCAGCAGTTGGAGACCAACTGCAGCTCAGTGGGAGAAAGTCTGGGCTTCCTACTCCAGTAAACAGTCACAGTCGGGGAACCCACAGGGGTGGGGAGGATCACTACGAATCAGCATCAACTCCATCGCAGTGAGACCTGCCTCCGAGAGGCACCATCGCTGGAAGGATCTTTTTTTCTACTTCATACATTTGTGGAACAACTATCCCAACACCCTTTTACTTTGCTTTCTGGTCACACAGTAGCGATACCATTTATCATTTTGTATCAAGTTATAACTTTCCCCTTCCTGTTTACAGTGTTCCAAGAACTATTGCATGACTTCATCTGTGGGAAGAAACATCTTATCAAAAGCTGGCCAGTCTAGACAGAGGCAGCAACTGGCCACTCTTAGGTTTGCTCCATTTTAAGAACAAGAAAAGGAGAGAAGACCACCTTTAGTGGTGGTGATGTTTGGATGTTACTATTTGGCTCTTTGCATTGTCTTGGAACAAAGAAATCAGGCCGATCCTTTTCTGGAAGGGTAAGGGTAAATCAAACCTATGGATGTTTTGGGTTTTTTTTCTTTTCTTTCTTTCTACTTTTAATATCCAATATTTATTTAATGACTACATATCACTTGTATCGGCAGACCAAAAGCCTGATGACATATAATAAAACTGAAGAATTGGGGCTTTTCTGAGAGGATTCACCTGTGAAGAATTGTTAAGATTTTCTGGATTGTCTCCTGCTAGGTATAAAATGAGCCCTCTGAGAAGCACGAGGGGAATCTCATCACAGGCAAGAGTCAGAAGTGGACTCTGAGATCCCCTTGCAGGGAACCTCCTGGTCCAGAAGACAGCTGTGATGCCAGAGGAGCGGTAGCAGAAACAGGAGCCAGTCCACAGAGTGGGGGACTTCCCAGCCAACAGAGGAAGTAAAGCTGAGTGCTTTGAAGCAGGAGGCTAGCTTGTGGAGTGGGGTGCCACTTGGCACTTAATTGTAGTTGAGCTGGCTGACTCAGGGAGGTGGAGCTGAGAGCCTTCAGGAAGCTGATCGCCTACTGGCGAGGAGTACCTTTGGGTGGAGGCTTGTAATGTGTGGAGTGACATGCCCTTTGGGCATTTATTGCCCTTGAGAACTTTGTAACAAGTCCTCGCTGAACCACTGCACCCTGAGCATTTCTTACCTACATTGTAGCCTATTAATTTCTTTCATAAATCTTTTCACTGTAAGTATGCAGTGCGGCCATTGCAGTGAATTAGCAAGCTCCGTTGCACAAAAAGTTGTGTGCGACAGAACACAAGAACATGTTTTTATTATATCTTCATTTTACAGCTAAGAAGTTGAGCAGCTTGCCCAACGTCACAGCTGAGGTGTGACGGACTCAGGTTGTGACAGCCAGGCAGTGCGGGCTCAGAGGTTTCGCTTGTCCTCTCCAGGCGCTGTGACTTTTATGTGTTCCCTAACAGCGTTGCTTTCTGGCCTCAGAAAAACACGCAGGTGACCAAGGGAAGTTGTTATACTCACCATAAGGAAGTCTGTTGGTGCATCACTGCTTGTGAGATACTGAGGGTACGGAAATAATTCCTTGTAACCTGCATAAGAATATCGTCATGAGGTGCTCATCAGATAATACTCATTTTATGGACTCCCAATAGTCACCCTATTTCATACCATCAATGCCGTCCTAAAGACTAGACTGTATATTTGTGTGCCTTCCTTACATTTACCGGGGGTGGGGGGAGCTTGGTCATTTTCACACAGCCCTTTAAGTTCTAGCATATTCAAAATATGCGGTTTATTACTCAGCGTTATGCGTCAAAGGCGTACTCTTCCGTTGTCATGCGTCAAGCATGTAACGGTGCAGGGGTTCCCAGCGGTACAAGCAGCCCAACTGGGAAGAAAGATGCGCGCACGCTCCACGCATGCGCCCGACACTGCTCGCTCAGCCATTACCCCCTGCAGCACCCAGAGCCTTGCTCAGCTGTAAAGCGGGCCCTGGCGTCTGTGGGATGGCACAGAACGTAAGAATCCCTGGGAGGTGCTGTACGCGCTTATTGCACGCGACAGTCCTTCTCTCGTCGCTACTAAACAGGTGCCTTAAAGGCGCAGAGAGGATTCAGAGGTGCAACCTGGAGGATGGGGAGCTGCTTTTATTCACACGGTGTTCTTGTGATGTTTCCTGACCGTGCATTCGACTCGATGACCATGCGGGCTCCAAATAGCCTCTTGATCTTCTTCTTAGGACCCTCGTCCTTGGCAGATCATGGCCTCTGCTGTTGGCTCCGTCGGTACTCAGTCTAGCGTTAGGTGCACATATGACTATGTTATAAGGCACTCTGCCGGCACAGTGGGTTATGCAAATGGACTGCTAAGTGCAAGGTCGGCAATCGGGACCCATCAACTGCTCCAAGGGAGAAAATACAAAGCCATCTGCTCCTGTAAAGATTTATAGCCTTGGAAACTCCAGGGAGCAGTTCTGCTCTGTGCGAAGGGGTTGCTAAGCGTCGGAACTGATGACAGCAGTTGGTCCTATGTAATATACTTGGCTTTCAGCACTTTGCCTGACTAAATCCTCATAACAGCCTAATGAGGCAGGACTGATGCATTAGCCTCATTTACTGATTAGCAACGTATGTACATGAGTCGATTCTAACTCATGAAGACTCTATGTATAAGTGCTAAGCCTGGGGATTTGAACCCAGGTGATCTGGCTCCAGCGTTCCGGTTCTTCGTAAACCCTATTCTACCTCTCAACACATCAGTTTGGGTTTATTGACTCAAGGGAGCCCGGGTGGCAGAGTGGGCTACCAGCTGGGCTGCTACCACAAGGTCAGAAGCTTGACCCCATCAGCCATTCCTCGGGAGAAGGATGAGGCTTTCTGCTCCTCTAAAAATGTATAGCCTCAGGCACACAGAGGCAGCTCTACTTGGCCCCGCTGGGTCGCTCTAAGTCGGAACTGACTGGATAACAATGAGCTTGGTGTTCTTGGTATTCAGTGAGTCGACTCTACACAAGAGGGTGTTGACATTAAAGAGAAGCACACTGTGGCTCACAGCCACAGAACACTTACCTGTGCCGAACTTGACAATATTTATTTTTTGTTTCTTATCCACCAGAGACAACGCATATAAGGCAATTTGCTTGGCTTGCCAGAATGCCTCCCCCTCCATAGAATTGGAGCAATCAAGACAGAGAACCAGTTCACTCTTCTCAGCTGTCTCAGGGAGGCTGGTATTAAAATCTGGCTGAAAGACAAGCATGCAAGCCTGAAAGGAGGGAGAGAAAGCTTATTACTGGTTCTTCCTTCGGATGGCTCTGGTTTCTATGTGTCAAGAGACCACAGTGTTTCCATCAAAAACCTACCCACACAATCGTTTCCAAATGATGGGGACATGTCATTGGGATACAATAACAGAGTAACCAGTTCTGAAATATTTTTTCCCAAAGTGTCTACTATTTCTAAATAAGTAGCAGTATATACCTCGCTGTTTTTCTCTGGATGTTTTTCAACCCACATTCTTGGAAGATAGGCATCACACAAGCCGACGTGCAGGGAGAAGCCATTGCTGTCCAAGGAACTCCCTTCCACAGTGCTGACGACAGCTTTGCAGTCTGTGCGCTGCAAACCAAGCAACCAGGACAGTCAAACAAACAGCGGGCGAATATATTCTCAGTGCGCATCTCCCCATCAAGAAGGAAGCCCTCGTTATTTGCACTTGCTGATGACAATCAGACTACAGCCTTCCAGATGGACTGCAACTCAGTGTAAAGCAAAGAAAACCCCCTCACAACCAGACTAATACACAACATCATGATAAACAGAGAAAGATGGACGTTGCCGGGGACTTCATTTTGCCTGGATCCACAGCAACACTCATGGAGACGGCAACACTCAGCCAAGACATCACATGACGCACTGCTTTGGGGTTATCTGCCCACCAACCCTCTGTAAAGTGTTAGAGAGCAAAGATGGAACTTTGAGCACTAAGATGTACCTGGCCCAAGCAACGGTATTTTCAACGGACTCATCCACCTGTGAGGAGTGAGGTGAGCGAAATGGGAAGAGAGCTAGCTAAAGTCTCATCTATCAACAAAAGAAAAGGTCCATTCTGAAACAGATGGATTAAAAATAAATAAGTAAAATCATTCTATCTAAAACTATGGAGGACGTGACAGATGCCACCAATATTCTAAAGTGGTTCAGTCTCAGGGTGTTCACGAATGACAGACAGGCAGAATGAGATGGGTGGGGTGGCAGTTACTTAATCTCCTGTGAACTTGCGAAGGGCTGGAGTCTAGCCTGTCAATCAGCTCATAGCCAATGAAGTCTCTGTGTGGGCATGGCCTTTTCCTGAGGATTCTGGAGGTGGGACACACACATGGAGCTATGCTGATGAAGCCAGAGCCCTGGAGCTGGAGGAACCCTGTGGAAACCCATACCAGCGCTGAGGTGCTTCCACTACCACTAGATCCACAAGACTTTCCACCCACTGTCCTATGATCTTCCTGCATTCAGCATCATTGCATGTGTTGCGGGAGTTTGAAGAGGAATTTATAGACTGGTATCAGACATATGAGCTAATATCGGACTTATGGACTTGATGTGGACTGGGCTGGGATGTTTTCTTAATATACAATTACTCTTTATATACAGTTCTTTCTAATATGCATATGAGTCTCCCTGGATTTGTTTCTCTAGTCTACCTGGACTAACACAACTGCTTATTTTCAGATGTTAATGTTAGTGTTGCTGGACCTTTTTTTTCAACTATGTGAATGCATTTGCTTTGATAAAATAGCAGTGTTATGAAATAAAACAAGGATTTACTAACCTTTTGTTTCAGTTTGTGTGTGTCACTAGAAATGAAGTCAATCACATACGGCATCTCAATAGACATACTCAAAGAGAAGCTATGAAAGGTGAAGAGAAAATAGTCTTAGTCTAGTATCTTAAGGTTCTACTTTTAGTTGTTCCAATTCAGCGTAAATGAAATTTTAACAATGGAATGGATTCCCACTCAATCAGGGCTTCTTTCATCTTTTCACTCGCCCACCCCTTTTCACCTGAGAAATTTACAACATATGCAAGCACTGTCAGAAACACCCTGGATTTGATTTTGAATGAATTTTTGACCTCTGCATGCTTGGAAACCTTTTATTGTTTCCATACTTTTTATGCCCGCCCATTTTCAATTACAGTTTAAGAAGCTTTGCTTTAAATGATTGACTGGTTTTATATTGTAGGTACTAACCTTTGCTTTGTCCCTATTTCCCTTATGCAAATCTTCTCTACTGAATCCTGTAAGAAGAAAAGTTATGTATCCATAGACATGGGTTAGTTTTCATGATTAGCTTCTAAACTGAATGCAATCTAAGAAGGCCATAGCAGCATTTATTAGGGAATGGTAATAACTTCTAAAACAGAGTCCAACATTTATTTTGGCCATGTGTTCAGGAAAAAGAAGTAGCACCCTCCTGATAATTAGAAACGTTTGTACAGTAGCTCAAAAATCTCGGACAAAGTGTAAGGATCTGCTTTTTCAGTCCCTGGATTGTTCCAGCACCCCACCCAGAGGGTGGGAAACCTTGTTCTGACATTTAATAGTATGGAAATCTAGTTATGGCAAGTTTCAACTAAAAGATGGAACTCTTTCATGATTTTAAGCCCCTCTCATATATATGTATGTGTGTATACACACACACACACACACACACACATCAATTATGCATGTTACAATTCTGGAAGAATACATCTACCAAAGTATTAGCCAGTAGTCATTTAGAATTAAGTATGGTTTAGTTTCCTCTTTTGGTTAATTTGCATTCTCTCTGCCTGCCTACACTGCTCCCTGTCTGGTAGTTGGTCGTAAGGTGGTGGGGTTTGCATGTAAAGCTAGAAGCTATGCTACCAGTATTGCAAATACCATCAGGCCCATCTAGGGTGAGCAGGATTCAGCAGGGCTATCAGCTTTCGTAGTAGAAAATCTACTTCTGAAAATTCAGAAGTAGGCAATCTATTTCTGAAAATTTAGCCAATGGAAGTCCTATGGGTCACAACAGAATGCAGTTGGATATCGTGCTGGGAGATGAGCCACCCAGGTTGGAAGACACGTGGCCACAACAGTGGGCAACCCACCAATCCTGAAGAAGGGCAGCACCAGGCGCCATTTGTTCCCTTAAACACGGAGTCTCCGTGAGCTGGGCCACTGTGCAGCTAGCAAGAAGGCTTATCTGAATTCCTCAAGATGAGCATGTAGTACAGATAGCATATATTTGTTAGGTAATTAAATAGGATAAAAATATCCATGGGACATATCTTGTGTCTTTTATTCTGGTCACTTTATGTGTGTGTGTGTGGGGGGGGGCAGTTAAAAAGTTAGTGGAAAACAGAATTTAAGATTTTTCCCCCCACAAACTTTTGGACATTCCCTCGTATATGCTAGAATAATTAAGACTCTGACTGGCAGCACAATTGCGTTTATACTGCCCCCAGATTAGATGACTTGGATATTTTCACTTCCAATTCCTATAAGTCCCAAGAAATGTTTCTTTACATCTTCTCTTAAGCACACTAACCTGAGTGTTTTCATTCAACGCGTGGTCCTGTTGCCAGGGTGCCACTGTGGCAGGCAGGCAGAAGACCGCTGCGGTCCCCTGGAGACTGAGTTCTGTGATGTAGGTAATTTTGATAAGAACCTTCGCCTTAGGAGGCAAGTTCCCGACACTTACAGTGAACACGTCCTGAAACAGAAACACTCCGTTTAGCTCTGCAATCCCAAAGCACATGTGCGCTGTGCTAGCTAGCCCCTCAGAAGAACTACTTAAGTCCCCGTCTGCCAAATTCTTCCTTAGAAAATAGTAGTAGCACTTCAATAACAGGGAGCCCTGGGATCATTCCCTAGTGCGTGGGGAGTCAGTGACATGTACAGTAGGCTGATAAAGGTGGTCCCTGAGACTAGACTCTAGGCTGACTGGAGAGTGTGGTCCAGGGACTCCCCCCAACAAGAGCATAGAGATGCTGTTTTTTAGAGACCATCCTCAGTCTGATGGGGGAGTCACTGCAATACAAACCCAACCAAACTCACGGCCATTGAGTTGATTGCTACTCATAGCGACCATTGACCAATGACCAATGCTACTCATAGCGACCATAGCGACCAATCAACGAGTTGATTGCTACTCATAGCGACAGGGTAGAACTGCCCTTTGGGGCTTCTGAGGCTATTGAACTTTATGGGAGCAGAAAGCCTCCTCTTTGTCTCTTGAAGTACCTGGTGGTTTCAAACCTCTGAACTTGTGGATGGTAGCCCAATGGATAGCCCACGGCACCAACAGGGCTCCCCTCGCTGCAGTGCACAGAGACTAGTGCGGAGGTGGGTGAGGCTTGAACTGAGTGAAAGGGGATGGTAGGATGCCAGTTTGAGAGGTAAAGGAAGGGTTTGCTTCATTGTTTAGGCGCGATAAGCCGAGGCAAACAGGCAAGTTGTGAGACAGCAGCTGGGAATTTTGAGAGGAAATAATTGATGAACACAGAAAATATTATGTAAGACAGGATAAAAAATCCAAGAGACTGACGAACATTAGAAATGATTAAGGAGTATGAGTCCCCAATAAAATGATTTTTAAAAAATGATTAAGGAGACAGGGGCGGATGAGACTACAGTTACTGTTTTTGAGTTAGAGGGGAGGAAAGCTGAAGAAACGCATGACTTGATCATAGCTTTTCCTGGAAAGAACAAGAGGGGCCCCTGTAGAGATGGAAATGGAGACTGGGTTGCTAGGAGAAGGAGCAAGGTGAAGCTGGGAAACTGTTGCTGCCAAGTGTAGAGGAAGGAGTGAATGAGCTGACAGAGGTGTGGTGAGCCCTTCACTCCAAGACATATAACTGTGTCTTCCAGCCCTATCCATACTTCTGATATAGTAATCCATCATTTTCATGAATCACTATTTAACACTCCACCTACTAATTGTTTCCACCTCAACCCCATGGGTATCTAAAACCATTGTGTTTTCCGGTCATCATCAAACAAACTCAAGCCTGCTGCCTGCCAGTCAATTCCCACTCATCGTGACCCCATAGGACAGGGTAGAACTGCCCCATGGGCTTCCAAGACCGTAACTCCTAATGGGAGTAGAAACTTCCTCTTACTCCTGAGGAGTAGGCGGGTGGTTTCGAACTGCTGGCATCACAGTTGGCAGCCCACCTTGTAACTCCTGAGCCACCTGAGTAATCATTGTCATGGGATTTTTGGATACAAGAAGACAGGGGTTGTGAAGACTGGTTTCTTTTGGGCCACAATTTTGGACATGTTACCAGGAGAGCCCCGTCCTTGTAGAAGGACCCCAGACTTGGTAAAGTCGAGGAGCAGGGCCAACGAGGAAGACCCTGGACGAGACGGATGGACACAGCGGCTGCAACAATGGGCTCAGACGTGAGAACCACTGTGCGGAAGCCTCAGGACCAGACGTGCTTCATTCTGTTGTCCACAGGTTGCTCTGACTTGGAGCCAACCTGACAGCCCTCAATGACATCCTGTGTTCACATGTATGAGGAAAATATCGAGATCAAGTCACATGTGACCGTAATCACACAGTCTCTCTGATGAACCCTTAGGCTTTTATACTTCAGCCAGGGGCCAGCATTACTAGCTATCACCTCTTCATCGCTTACTCCCATCCTACAAGTGGATAGCCTAGGGGTCAGAAGCAGTAATGCACCCTTACCGCTAACTTCAAGGGTGGCAGTTTGAGTCGGAAGGAAAGCCTGGTGATCGACTTCTGACAAATCAGCTCCTGAACCCCCCCAGGAGCACAGCTCTACTCTGACACACGCGGGGTCACCAGGAGTCAGACTTAACTCAAGGGCAACTCGTTGGGTTTTTAAGTCTATGTCAACTCTCGATACTGTACGCACCCATGCCAAACGAAATGGCATGGCGTTATGTTAACGTGTCATCCTCAGCGGGGACACCTGAAACAGAAGGTCCCATCTTCGACACCTCAATCTGGACTAGATACTCTGGTTAGGAACTGACTTGGGTGCAAGGCACCCTCTGAAGAAAGAAATCCGGGGACATAATTATCTTTCTCCTTTTCCAACAAACCAACAAACAGAAGAGCCCAAACCTGCTGCTTCCGGTTGATTCAGACTCACTGCAACCCTACAGGGGAGAGTAGAATTGCAGGGGAGAGTAGAATTGCAGGGGAGAGTAGAATTGCTCCAGAGTGTTTCCAAAGCCCAACTCTCCATGGGCACAGACTGCTAGAGCTTTCTTCCAAAGGACAGCTGCTGGGTTTGAACCACCAACCTCTCAGCAGTGCAGCAATCTAAGCACTCTACCCTGGGAGCTCCTGTTAGATTCTCATTAAAGCTAATAAGAAGAAAGCAAAGAAGCTGGTCCTATGTCAGTGTCCTGAGTACATGCCCTACTGGGTGATGGTTTTTGGTGGTAACTGAGGAAAATGATCCCAAAACCAAACTCACTGCCATTGAGTTCATGCCGACTCACGGTGACCCTATAGGACAGGGTAGAACTGCCCCTGTGAGGTTACGAGACTGTCACTTTTTACAGGAGTCGAAAGCCCCGTCTTTCTCCCTCAGAGCGGCTGCTGGTTATAAACAGTCAAAGCCCAACATGCAACCTCTATGCCGCCAGAACTCTGGTGTGAAATTAAAGGTGCACTTAATTCCAAGCAAGGTTTTCTTGCCAATACATCACACTCTTTGATCAGAGGATGATAACTATGGAGCCAAAATGGTTTCTTCCCATTTTCACTTCTGGAAAACTCAGTTCCCAATTACAGAAGTGGTTCTTTTTTTTTTTTCCCAGAACACATTCTCCTTGATTTTATTTGTCTTAGAAACTCATCATTTACACCACAATGATCAGACTCCTACCATCAGAAACCTTGCCTTCTCCCATGTGAGGGCCCAGGTGCAGGAAATGGGTAGGGGTGGAAATCTGGTCTTTTTAGGCACTATGTCTTATATCTCTTCGTAGGTCTTACTTCCAGGAGAAATGTGTGCCTTTTTGTAATTTTTCCACCCAGAGGGGACACTTCTTAGTATTTCACAAGCCTAAATAGGTGCTTGGTTTTAAGTCACACAAAAGGCCAGTATTTCATAAATGAAGTCCTCCCTTTCAACAAATTACATCAGGACCTTTTCAATACCACCTTGAACTTGAGGACAATGTAGCAAAGAAGACAAGTCCGTGATGGGTTTAGTTTGTTGTCTCACAGAAGTGGTTCTTATTTGACTGGTAATATGGACATCATTTCTTCCTTATTTAACAAGTCAGATGGGACTGGACAGCTTGGTGTCTCCCCTTGCTAAAAAGGCAAACGAAACTGCAAGGTTCTACATACTAGAAATCATCTTGGTTTCTATGATGAATTTCACAATTCAAATCATTTTCTAACCCCCCTTTTTCTATCCTATGAAATCTACAAGGCTAGCCGAGCAATATCAACTCATACAGGTGCGTCCTGATCCATCAAGTAAGCACCGTGGCCTTGACTGATGGCTTCTTTGTATTCACGGTGGGCTTTTTCCTTCTCCTTAACCTGGAAACAGAAAAGGTTTGTACATGGGTCATCATATCAATGCTAGCTTCAGACTTCAATTAGGAAAACGCCATCATGTCTATTGAAACCTGGACAAAACCAGAGAACTAAGAGTCCAGCTAAGACAAAAGGGAATTCACATAATATGATCACCAATATGAACCAACAAGGGCATTCTCTTTAAGTTGGGGATCCAAGTTTTCAGAATCAATAGTGAGGGTATGGCGGGGTTTTGCGTCTTTCATTTGAACAAGAAATAGCAACTGATTTTACCTCAGATGTAATTGAATATGGGTTGCCATTATAATCGTGGGCTAATGTTTAGCATAAACAAAGGAGGAATTAACTGTTATTTCTTTGGGTACATTTCTTTCCCTTTAAATTGACTTCAGTTGGACTTTTACAGCCAGGCGTGGGGAGTCAGCTCTTGAAACATTAAAGGGATTCCCCAGTCGTCCAAGGTGCCTCTTTTAAGCTTTTGATACTGAGGTTTCTCTCCCCCAAAGTACCTAAGCAGGCGCTGACCAACAAACCCTGGACAAGCTGGACTAGATCGAACCCAATAATCAGGGGGGATGGTGGAGTGGAGACTAAGCGTCTAAGCACAAACGTATTTTTGCTTTATGTTAGTCAATCTCCTAGCTACAGAGAGTCAGCTAATCAAGACCCCAGTCAATAGGAAACCAAAGTGAAATCATAATTCACGTTCTCCTCTTACCTCTCCTATGATGTGTTTCCCATTGATGAAGGCTTCGAAGCCACACACAGCTGCCTTATCATCCAGAGGAAAGATGTACTTGGCCTCAATGGGCACATGACTGCGATTCGTGTAGGTCTGAAAAACGGTGACCTGAAGAAGAAAATTGCATGTTCCTAACACATCCACTAAAGAACATGTGTGGTCGTCGTTGTCTGACACCCCCTGGATTTTTATCACGTCCCTCAATTTCCAACTCTGCCTTCAGGCGTTCGAGGGGATCCCACTGGAAAGTAGAGTCTCTGTCACGTGCGATAGACACACCATCCCCAAGGTTAGGTAGTTTATCCAAGCCTGGGTCAAGGTGAGTCACTTGCTAACAGGGCAAATGAGCAGAAGCAAGGCAGTGCTGCTCAGCTGGTCAGGAAAAAAGGCCTTTTAAGAATGTAAATGTATTAAGAAATCTAGGAAATAAGTTTGCTGAGAAAATATCACCCCTTGCACTTTACTGTCTGTCCCCAAAACAGTTTTAATAACTCAACATTGTTTGAGCCAAGTTTATAAAAGTGAGGGCCCCAGTAAATCCCAAACTGTCAAAAACATAATGAATGATCATAATGTCTACTCCAACTTTATATAAAATACATTTAAACAATATTTTTATGGAGTCTTTTTTTAAAAGATTCAATACTATACTCTTGATATGAATGCGAACCATACAATAGTTTTATCTATTTTAACAGATTTAAGATCATGAGGAATTATGCTTTACAGATACCATAGACACACGATCCCAGGAACAAAAACATCGATGAACTCTTTTCACAAGACAGTCTTTGCACTAAGTGGCTTCCATACTTGATTAACTCCTTTAAGTCTCACAATAATCCTGTGGGGCCAGGCCTGTGTTCTTAACACTCCATTTTAAGTTGAGAAAACAAGCAGAGAGATGATAAATTAATTGTCCAAATATAAACACCTAAGTGGCAGAAACAAATCCACTGTCATTGAATTGATTTTGACTGACAGTGACCCTGTAGGAGAGTAGAATTGTCCCCTAGGGTTTCTGAAACTATAACTCTTCACAGAGAAGACAGCCTCATCCTTCGTTGGGAAGCCAAATTAAAGGGTTTGGGTCTGGAGTATGCATCTTTAACCACCAGACTAGAGTGCCTGGGCCTGCCTCATAGAAGAATTAATAAGCAAACACCTTCTCAAAGAGATCTTCCCCAAACGGCCTGAAAAAGACCTTGTATCAGCCCTCCTTGTCGCACATGGGCCTAGTAGTAGTCCAGAATCGTCTTTATAGTCAGTCTATGCTGTCTTGGTATTCCTCCTTGGTTTCCCCCTTTCTACCAGTCTTGTGACTGTTCTAGTGTTCGTATTGACCTTTTGCTGCCTAGAGAGCTTCTGGATCAAACCCTTTTTTCATTACACTCTATCCTGCTGTTACCCCACCCCACCCCCTTTCCCCTCTGACTCTAATCTCCCCTTCTCACTCAGTTCCAGCCACAGCAGCTTTCTTGAGCACACAGGTTCACTCAGGACCTTAGCACTCACCTCAGGGCCTTTGCACATGCTGTGTTCACGGTCTATAATGAGTGTTTCCTCAGAGAGTCACATGGTAGTGCCCCACCTCCCTTCAGGTCTATTCTCAGTTGGACCCTTCTCAGGGAGGCCTCCCAAGGGCCTCCTATTTAAAAGTCCAGGGCTCCTCCCTCCTATGCGGTCTTTATTCCCCTGCTGAGTTGCTTTTTGTCCTTAGTACTCATCACCGTTTGACACATTACAGTGAGAGCCAGAAACTGATGGGACTGTCTGGTTCTCTTCAGGCCTCACAGCGTTTCTGCCTTTGACAGGGTGCAGTCGTACCCATTTCTGTCTCGTTTTACTGGGAAGCATTTGAGAGGGCCTTCTCTGACAGGTTTCTGCTTTACACAAATTCTGGCTTTTGCAGGTTTTACTTATTTAGGGTGTTTATTTTCTATTTCCGCAGTGGCACGGAAGTTCCAAAAGGGCCGTTTTTTTGTCTTGTTCCTTGACATGTGCTCAGAGACTAGGACAGTGCCCGACACGCAGCAGGTAGTCAGTGAGTGTTTGTACATGGAGTTTTAGCAAAGTGCACACGTGGTTTAGTTCATGCAATAGCAACTACATTTGCATGTCTGTACAATGTCCACCTGTTGAAGTGCCATCAAGCCATAAACAGCGTACCTGGGCTACAACGTCTATGAGTTTCCCCTTGATGTGAACATCCTCAAGAGGCACTAAATTCCCAACTGTATCCTGAAGACCGGCTTTGATGTTGCTGAAAGGTTTGGTATCTGGTAACTGGTAATCTGGATATTAACAACATGAGTGTTAGTTTTAAAAACCATTCTGGCATGGTGTATGTTTGGTCTCTTGATCGTCATTCCTCCTCCTTCCCTTTACATATCAAAAACATATATTGTATGACACACGGACAAACAGCAATTTGTGATTTTTCAGTAGTAAGTTCTGAGAGGTAAGTTCATTCCAGTCCTCACACAATTGCTCTTGAGTCAGCCCCGACTTATGGAAATCCCCTGTGTGTCAGGGGAGATCCAAACTCCCCATGGTCATCTCTAACTGATTTTTCGGAGGTGGATCACCAGGCCTTTCATTTCACGGCCAAACAGGCTGTTTGTACCACTGAGAGACCTCCACTCAGACAGCATTTTCAAAAGACACCTCTACTTTGAAACGTAGAGACTTTGCGAGTCATCTTGAGCGCCTAGAGTCATGCTACTCTCTGAAAGACACTGCTTTAAACCCACACACAAATACACAAGAGGTCTTAAAAAGATCTAAGTCAACGAAGGCTACTGTGAATCTAGACACCGGTCTCCCTTGACTTGCATTAGTTACTACGATAGCTTTGCCATAAAAGCTCTTCACAGCAACATGCACCTACAGACTTTCACTCCGAGGAGGATGAAATCCAACCCTAAATAGCCTTGCTATCAGACAGTACATTGGAAGGTAGACTATTCCAGACACAGGTTAAAATTTAACACCTTATCATTTGATCTCGCTTTTGACTCATTTTAAATTTGCTGTAGTTTTTAATATTTTCAATTTTCTTTTCCATTGGGCTTTTTCTTGGTTACGATTTATCATTATTGTTGGGCTTTTTCTGTGTTTTTTTTTCTTCTTTTTATCTTGTACGTTTTTCTGAATAGGAAATCCAGGAGAGGTAAATCTACAAAGACATTGATTTCTATTAGTGATTTCTTCGGGGCACGGCAAGGAAAGTTGAGGGGAAACGGAGAGCTGAGAACAATGAGAACAGTGCCCTAGAACTGATTGTGTGATTGCCATACAACTCTTTAATAGATGACTGCATTCTTGACTTGTATTATATGGCAATAAAACAGCTAAAGATAGACACAGGTCTCTGCATTACAGTTCAGAAGGAACCTAAAATACCAAGTAAGTGAGAACTCTTCATGGGGAAAAGCAGTCTTTGAAGTCTCACGAAGCCTCTGAATCACAATAGGAAAATAAAAATGATTTCAAGGGGCATTCAAGTGAGACATCTCGCTTGATATGTCCTAGGGAATCGGCAATATAAGACCATTTAACTAGTAGGAGCAAGAGACTGGGACACAACTCTGGGATCCATCCTTCTGAGACATACGCCCCCCTTTTTATTTTTTTTAAAGGTCAAGACCAAAACAGCATATCGAAAAGCATTTAAGTAGTATTGTAGTAGGTGGGTCAGAAATATAAATATGACTAAGTATACAAAGATAAATTGTCTTGGCTACTGAATGACTGACTGACTCCCTGAAAAAAATTTGAAGTCATATTCTTCAACATTTATAACTTCATACATTCTGATAAAAAATTATCCATTAAAAATGATCATGTGATTTTACAACCCTCCTACATAGTATTGCAATACACTGGGCTTGTAATTTTATCCTTTCTGAGAAGCTTATCCATCCTGCATAGGTTTGTCCTACTACAGATAGATGAGTTCCCCAAACGCCACTCACAGCCATCGAGTCCATTTATAGTGGCCCTAAAGGAGAGAGCAGACTGTCGCTCTGGGTTTCTGACACTCTCAGACTTTATGGGAGAAGAAAGCCTCATCTTGCTTCTTCAGGGAGGCCGGTGGATTTGAACTGCTGCTATGCCACCCGGGCTCAAACAGATATGGGGGCATCTTTGTTTCTCCCATTTAACCCACATGGCAACACGGTGAAGCCGGCCTTGCTATCAGTCGCAGCTGAAAGCAACTGCCACTCAGATAGATTTGTTCAAGAGGACACAACCTGCAGTGCTGATGTTCAAATCCAAGAGTCCTGATTATAAATAGTGTCTTCTTTCTACTCTACCAACCTCGATGATAATTTTTGACTTATTTTCAATTTTTTTTTTTTTTAGGATTAGCTAGTGTGGGTTGGGCAAATTAAACATAGGTGGGTTGATGAAATAGCACATAGTTTTGAGGTCAGTTAATTTCTCACAAGTATCCTTGTTTGTATTTGAGCAACATAAAAGGGACATCTTGAGGCATGGGGTCACCAGACATGAAGGTGAAGCCCACCGGAAAGACAGTCCTTGAGTTCTGTAAACGGCCAAGGAAAAGGATCTTACCTTCGGCCTTTGAACAGCTTGAAAGCTCAGGTGCGCATTCTTCTAACTCAGTATTATTCCCAGTCAGATGAAAGTCTTTTATCTGATCTCCAGGAATGCAAAATTTAACAATATATTTCATCTTAATCTGATTGGTTTTATATACCACAAATTCATCATCCTAGACCAAAGAGAAATGAACAGGCAATAAAAAACAAAGCACACAAAAAATGCCTTTGCGGCAACTGTCCTTATCAAACACAATTTCATGTTAACTCATTTAGAAAACATTGACTTCAAACAGTAGACAAACCATAGTTCTCCATGCTTACGCATACTTAATACAAAGAGGAGCAACAAGACAAAACTCTTTGTCTGCTTCTTGATTAAAAAAAATACCTCAAAGTCTGTGTCGATGGCTTCTGTCTGTGACACTCCGTGGACACTGTCATAACCTGGTGGGGCTTCTGTTAGTGAAAAATCCTTCTTGTACAAGTCCATACACTTCCCCAGGGCCACATCACAAACAACCAAGAGTCGAGTGCCCTCTGTCTTTCCCGGCTGTGAGTACTTGATACTGGTGCTGTAGGTGAGAGGAAACAGTATCACTGATTATCCACATAGGAACAGACACTGTACAGACTTTCCAAATTTCCCCCAACACTCTGATGGATAGAAAATTAATATATCGTACACTTTCATAGTTAAGTTATTTTTAAATGATTTATTTTATTCAAAGATCATTTTATTGGGGGCTCTTACAACTCTTATAACAATCCAGACATCAATTGTATCAGGCATATTTGTACGTATGTTGCCATCATTATTTTCTAGACAGTTACTTTCTATTTGAGCCCTTGGTATCAGCGTCTCTTTTTTCCCTCCCTCCCTAAACCGCACTGGCTACCCCTTGATAAATTATTATTATTTTCTTATCTTACACCGACCTCTGTCTCCCTTTCCTCATGGTTTCTGTTGTTCGTCCCCCTGGAGGAGGGGCGTGGCTATGTGTGGATCATTGCGATCGGTTTTAAAAAGACGAATTGTATCCAAATATCATAATTGGCTCTAGTGCACCCTGCCCCTTCCTATATTCAGTATTTGCTCCCCAATTCCCCTTAACTTTCCCCATCCCCAATAAACTGAAGAGCTCACGATAGTGCCATTGAGCACTTTATTGTTCATGTATTTATTGACAACTTTTATTGAATCAATACGGACAGCACATTTATGGTGCTGTGAGTCCCTTTGTTCTCAGGAGGAGGTGAATACCACATGCTCCCCCCAATATTGATAAGCTATTGAGCGATATACCTTTGGCAGTAAGAACCCTAGAAGAACAGTGAACAACAACAGAAAACAACAACCACAAAGAACCCCCCCAAATAAAAAACTCCTCTTGATCAATTTGAGAAAAAAGAAGTGAACTAATTCTCTACATTAAAGTTCAGAAGATCCATGGTCTACAAAGTAAATAAGAACTTATCAAAGGGAAAAACAGACCTTAATTGCTCAGGAAACCATCTGAATCAAAACAGAAGACTAAACATGATTCCAAGTGAAAGATTTTGTTTGAAGTCATTGGGAACGAATTGGCATTATAAAGCAAATCTTGTTATTAGGAGCAACAGGCTAGACCACAACTTTGGGATCCATACTTTTGAGACGTACCACAATTGTGTTTTGTTTTGTTTTTTGGTGTAAGAAAGAGCATTTAAAATTTTTATTTTTATTATTTTAAAAAATCATTTTATTAGGGGCTCATACAACTCTTATCACAGTCCATACATACATCAATTGCGTAAAGCACATTTGTGCATTCATTGCCCTCAAAACATTTGCTCTTTTGTTTTGCTTTTAAGATTAAGAGCAAAATGTACTGTCTGGCTTTGCTTCATCTCCCATTAGACTTGCACTTTTTTGTCTTTTGTGATGAATTATCCCCATTCCTACAATAAGCCCCTCCCACTTCTGAAGGCTTTTCTCTATAATGTATAAACATGCTTACATTCTTCCCACCCAACTCCCAATCTCCTTGACCTTTTCTCCTCTGGCTTTCTACCGATTTATAGTTTGGATCTTGAAAGTATATAGGAAAGTATACAAGGGTAAGTAAAAAGGTGTTGCTATTGGCTTCCGGTTCATTTATACAGGATTTATTTGAAACATAACGTGTTTAAACATGTCTCTGCAATCAATGGATAATGACAGACATGTTCTCTCAATGACAGCTTTGTCTTGGTCTCATTGGCTGGCTCTAGAGAAAGACTGATTACAAGTGTTGAGTCCCTCCTGCATCACCGTTTATCTTATGACCTAAGGCAAGAAATACTCTTTGTCCCTCGTTCCCTCATTTATGACATTCAGATACTAGCACTGATCTCAGAGGGCTCTTGTAAGGATTATCTTAGGTACATACAATCAGTAAGATCATGAAGATGATTTCAAATGGAATTTTCTAAATATGTATTAAAGATGCGCTTCTACAAAAAAAAAAAAAATGCACTTCTACCATATACTGAGACGTAGTGCTTCCAGTGGTCTGCTTCGTAGGCGAGAAGCTCATTCACAACAGCGACAGGAAGAGAAGCAGCCACAGCAAGGACAAGGCGATGGCAATGCCGTGGTGATGACTGAGTGGCGGAGTCCACACCTTCCACTTACCTGAGCGCATCGCTGAAGTAGAGCCCACTCCCAAGATTGCCAACGTCTGTTCTTTCCACACCACGGTCTTCAACCACTTTGGGTAAAAGCAGCCCTCTGAAAAGAAAAAGGATGATTTACTAAAAAGAAAAAAAAATTCTCTTTTATCACAGACTTGTCATTCTAGCAGAGGCAGGTATTATTTAAAATGAATAGAATAAAAAGAAAAATGCATTGTAACACAGAGGGGAGTTCCAGGTACAACCAAAATGTAGGGAGCCACCCCCGGTTTCGCATCACCGTCTGGACCCGCTCGGGGCTGCCGGCCATATATTTCTGCCTGTGGGTTCTACCCACTTCAACCCAAACTCTCTCACCTCCTGTGTGCGCAGTAGGACACTGTTGTTTTTGTGTGTATGTGTGTGATCCCATTTTTGTGTATTTATTTATCTTTAAATCATTTTGTTGGGAGCTCTTACAACTCTTATCACAATCCATCCACCTACCCATTGTGGCAAGCACGTTTGTACCTATGCTGCCATCATCTTCTTCAAAATATTTTCTTTCTACTTGAGCCCTTGGTATCAGCTCCTCATTTTCCCCCCTCCCTCCCTGCCTCATGAACCCTTGATAAATGATAAATTATTTTTATTTTCTTGTCTTCCATTGAGCAGGACACTGTTTTTAAGCCCAACTCTTACCTCTACTGGGCTTCGAACACTCTGCAGAAAACTCTGCGATGAAGTGGTCAGCAAAGTCACCGTCCACAGGCCAATTCTGACTCAGGGACCCTATGTAGTCAACGGTTCCCTCTGGGGAGATGCGCGCAGGTGGATTTCTACTTTTTATTATACACAGAGGCTCCAAAACTTCATGGATTCAAAAACAGTGGGATTTTCCCACAAACTTTTTGAAGCTCTCCCACATAATCACCTATTGTTTGAATTTTTTTATTGAGAACTTGAATTAATCTTGCAAAATGTAAAGTAAAAAAAAAAAGATCAAACCCATTTTTATTAAAAACACCTTCTGTGATTGTGTCAGCTCCGAACTTTCTACCAACACCTGGATGCTCTCACATGATCCTGCTTTCTGTGAGGAACTTCACTGTTCCTCCAATAGACGTCACTTCTTCAAGACCCCGCTTATGACTCGGCCCCTGGAAAATGTCTGACCGTCCCTTGTTCCAGACATTGTTCCCGGGGCAGCTCCCAGGTGATCAACAAATACAGTTAAATAAATCAGTAACACACCTTTCACATTTTAGGGATCTGTATGATCAGAGAGTCCGTCTCTGTTTACAAATGTAAACCTTCAATGAAAATTCCTATCGAGGTCCCATATGGTAGCAATTGACTTGCTCAAATCCAAATCAAACATTTCTCTGTGTGCAAGAACCTTTAGAGATTCCTTTAGAGAGTTTGTCCTTTCTCTGATTTCTACGTGACTCTGTGATTTTTTTTTTTAACTACTTGGCACACGTCTGTCCCTTTACTTTTTCAATCAGGTTGTAATTTCCTAGAGAGTTGCGGCCGAGTGTTAGATTCCTTTCTATGGTCTCCAGCACAATGCACCTTGAGGTGGAAGGCAGGCTTCAGGAGTCCTGGAGAATGCCTGGGACTTCCAGACACCGGGGCTCTGTCCCAGTCAACCTTTTCATCAATGGCTCCATTGAGGAGAAGAGAGACTGCAAATCAGAATGCAAATGACTTTATGCTAAAATAGGGAAAATACATGAGCCGGTCATCAGAAGAATATCCTGCTCGATAGGTTATCTTTATGGGTCAGAAGTCACGGCTCAATGTTCAGGATCAGGATGAGTCAAAATAAGGAGCCCCAGTGGTATAGTGGTTATGTGTTGAGCTAATCATAAGGTCAGCTGTTCAAAACCACCAGTGGGGCTTTGGGAGAAAGGCACGGCTTTCTACTCCTGTAAAGAATGGTAGTTTCAGAAGCCCACAGGGGCTTGCTGCCGGCCATACAGGGTCACCAGGCCTTGGAATCGACAATTGAGAAGAGTCAGAATTGATTTGATACCAGAAAGTTGGGTTTGAAGATAATACAATTTAGTTTTGAGAATGATGAGGGCAATAAAGGTACAAATGTGGTTGACACAATGGATGGATGTCTGGATTGTGATAAGAGTTGTACGATCCCCCAATAAAATGATTTAGAAAAAAAAGAGTTGGATACACATTTTAAAAAAGAGAAAAGAAAATAATTTAATAGCTGCCTGGTTAAACCCCCCTTGTAACTCTTCTTTCAGAATTCTCCTGGCAATTTCCATGAAAAAATATACATTGTAGAATCACCTATCTCTTTTAAACAGTCTTGCTCGCACTATTATTAGGTCATCACAAAAATGCATTACTTTAAGGAAAACTGACATAATTCTAATTAAAGCAAGTTTAAATTTTTTTTTGGTCCCTCAGTAACGGTTTCAAGTTTTTTTTCTGTACAGATCGTGTGAGCTTCTTTTTGCTTTTCTTCCTCAGGAAGAAGACTTTACATTTAACCATATTTTCCTTGTCCCCTGCGGCTTCAGTTTCAGCCCCAACAGTAAATGGTTCTTCAAAGCAAGCAGAACATTAGAGCTACATTTTAAATAGATAACTCTCACAATCTGGGCACTCTAGTTTCTAAAGCTCTCTCTTTGCAGTGTCAAACTATCCCAAGATTAGTTATTCATGGAAAAATCATGAACCGTACAGTCACCTGTCTTCACATTATACTGTCTTCAACAAGCAATTCACAACTAGGTATGACCCTTTAAAAATACATAATAAATCCAACGTATCCCTTTAGAAGGCTGTAAGCCAGCTCATTTGGACAGGAAAGACTTAATGTAGACAGAAAAATAATTAGAAAGTAAAACACTTGACTTCTGGGAGGATAAAATCTTGGAAAACACCGATGGTGTACTCTTACCGGGACAGAATTCCTACAATATTTTGTACAGGAGATCCATGCAATAAGGACTTCACATTGCCAAGTTTGCTCAAAAACTCCGTGGTTTCATTCACTCGGCCAACCCTGTATATCTGCAGGATGTCTACTGGACTCCCACTGCAGGAATCAGGAGAAAAACAAAGACTTCCTTGAGCTACATGGCATTGCTGCGAAACTACAGTTCCTGTCCCCAGGACTTGAAACCAGGGGTTTTTCCTCCCTCTGGCAAACACTTGTTCTCCCCTCCTGACACTGCCATCGCCGTCATGCTAGCTTCAAATTGTGTTAGATCCCAGGAGATCCACTGGGAGGAGAGTCCAATCAAAAGCAATGAAAAGGGTGTGATAATACAAGAACAAACTCTGGAGAAGGTCTAGGGGGGGGTGTTTTGAGGGTGACTGACCCAGGAGAGCTGAGCAGCAATTCTGAGAGGTCTGGATCAGTCCTTGGCGTAAGGGGAGGTGGGTCTGTCTGGTTCTAGACAGGTGCTAGAAAACCAGCTCTCAAAACAACAGCAGCCACACACCATGCTCCCTTGGAGCGCTCGCTGGTTTCGGTGGTGTATGCCAAGCCGGCACTCGGGAAACAACCAATCTGCCTGAAAATTGGAGTGTTCCTCTCCTGCTGGCAGGAGGCAGCCTCAGCACCTGACTACTGGTTCCAAGGTGCGGGCAAGGTTCAACCCAGTTCAGTATAAAGAGAACTGAGATGCCGGGCAGTGTCTGGGTGAAAGACTTCCGAGGAGGGAAGTGCTGGGGTGCAGTGAATGATCAGTGAAGGTCAGCCCCACCTCTAGGAGAGTCCAAGTTGAAGGAGCCAGGAAGCTGCATCACAGCTCTGGGCCAATGGGGTTTCTACAGAAGGGCCAACACTACAGGAGGGCTGGTCTGATGAGCTGCACTGTGGTTGCTGCCTAAGGCTACAGAAAGCGCAAGAAAGAACCAGATAGACCGCCAAGGGGAGGCACAGAACTGACCGTTAGGGAGACGACAATTCCTGACAGGTTTTCCAAATACATATTTTTGTGTGACAGACCGGCCCTTCCAAAAGCTGTCTTATGCATATTCCCGCAGTTTTACACCTTAATGCAAGTGGCTTTTCTCATGTGATGCCTTTCAAAATGCCATGCAAGCTCAGACCTCTTTTCATTTTATGACTCTACATTTCGTCCTAAGCAAGATGGGGTAACCCTGGGCGGAGAGTGGAATAACAGAAAATGTTTTCAAGCAGAGAAAACCGCCCAGGCTCTATTATAAACACAGGAAGGCAAGTTGTCATCACAATATAGCTAGCCTAAGGCTAATGATTAAATTATTCATTATTAGCTCTTTGGCTGAACCTGAAATAATAGCTTTACATGATAAAACATCAGGTTTCCTTCATGCTTACCTGTGATTATTCTGCAATATTTCTTTTCTAATGGTGAAAAATTCTTCCGAGTTCGGCTCCACGTGCTCAATTTTGCATCTCAGAGCTCGGTATTTGGCCAGAGAGGGTGGGTTGGGCTTTGACAAATTCACTTCACAGACACTCACCATGTCTCTTATAAGCTGTTGAAAGGAATGATGCCCCGGCGTCAGGGTCAGCACCTACCACGTTCCTATTTACTTGAAATGAACACTTTATCAGAGCATTTGGAAAAATAAAGGGTTTTTTTTCCTCCTCCAAAGCTTTGGAATCAAGCTCTGTACTATGAGTGGCATATTGTCCTTAATGTAGATTCTCAGAGCACAGTGTGCACGAATAACAATGGTACACATTCATTGAACACATCAGAGTTAAGGAAGTAATTTCCAATACGTAATTTCCGGGAGTCCCCCCCCCTTTGACACTGTGAGGTAGGTTTTGTAACCCTCATTGTCCAGTTGAGGAAAGTGAGCTTGGAGACCTGCCACCCCCTGTCAAGATCTGACAAGTCAGAGGAACAGTGACTAGCCCACGGCTGTGAGACGGTTCATTCTGGCCAACCTCCTGCCTAGAAAGCCCATTTCCACTTCAGAGATATTGACTCATAATCTACATTTTAACAAAATCCCCAGGGAATTCTTATACACAGGGACTCCTGTGAATAGTGTAGACTCTGATTCAGTGTCTCTGGGGTGGAAGTGGACATTCTCAGCAGGGAGTCCGACCAGAATGAACTGGTTCATTGCCCTGGACAACAGGGGAGCCCAGATCACCAGGCTTGAAGTCCATTAGCCATTACGGATGTTCTGGATGCCGGGCATCGTCTTCGGTTTTAAGGAGGCAAAGATGAGCCAGGCATGAGCCTACAAAGGGCCCCAAGTACACAAAGCTCAGTGTAGTCATAAGTCTCGGATCCCCTCCAGGAAAAGCTGAATTACGTTTATTTTAGGAACTTGCAGCTGTCACTGGCTTTAGCGTAAGTGACATGGAGGGAAGGTACTAGCCAGTTTCCTTGCAGGGTTGAAATTGCTAGGTGCCCTTCTGGCCTTGGAGTAGAAAGGGCTGAACTAGAACTCAAAACCTAACAGCCATACGTAAAAAGATCGATGCATGTTACTATGCAAAGTAAGAATTGCCCGGTGCAGTAGAAACAAAACAAGGCAAACATCAACACGCACACAATCAAAAATCCACACACACCAGAAGTGAAGTAAAAAGACAAATACATAATTGGGAAGGATATCTGAAACTCACATCATAAACTAAGCTCTCTAACATATGAGGAGCTCTTCAAATCAGGATGAAAAATTTCAAAGCATAAAGCAGAAGGAGGCAGTGGCCATGAACAGGCAGTTCACCGACAAAGAAACAAAACGGGCCATAAACCTTTGGAAAGATGCTCAGCCTCAGGGCATTGAAAAGCCATTTCTCACACAGAAGGTTGACAGAAGTCTAAAAGACACTGTTGGCCAAACTATAGGAAATGGAAATTCTCAGTCATCAATAGTTGGAAGGCAACAACAACAAAAATTACAACCTTGATGAAGGAATCAGACAATAGCAAGCAAAATTACAGATGCATTTATTCTGTACGCCAGCACATCTACTTCTAGAAGGGGCTATCTTCCAGAGGTACCCCCCGCCCCCTTCCCCCGTACAAGTAGATGATGACTAATACATAAAGCCATTCACTAAGATCACAAAGGTGCACAACAGGGCTGTGTCCTTTCACCAAACTTTTTCAATCTGTGTGCTGAATAAATAAGCCAAGAACACAGCCCTGGGATTGGAAGCCGTCTCAAGGACCGAGTCTTACCCTGCAACCTGCAGAGGACACAATCTTGCTTGCTGAAAGTGAGGAGGACACAGCATTGATGCACGACCATGGAAAGACCTCCATGAAAAGCAAGTAAAAGTCCTCACAAGCAGACCAATGAGCAGCATCTTCATAAATGGAGAAAGTACTGAAGCTGTCAAGGATTTCATTTTACTTGGATTCGCAATGAATGGCCCACTTTTACTTAGCTTCACGATCAACGATTAACCAAACTATGCATTGCACTGGGCAAACTGCCACACAAGAGACCTCTTCAACATGTTAGAAAGCAAGGCTACCACTTGGAGGAGGAAGGGCGGGCCAATGGAGCATCCTACAGAAATATGGAGTTTTAAATTTGGAAGGGACTGCTATCATTTCACGGTGTCATCTTGGTTATTGCTTTTTAAAAAAAAAACAACTTTCTTGGATTACAGATTCCTTTGAAAATCCAACGAGAGCTATGATTTTTCCCCTAATGTGCAAAGCTTTACATCTACAAACACTTCTAGGATCTAGGTTAAAGACTGCACATCTTATCTCCACCTTTTCATTTGCAGGTGAGACAACTCAGACCCAGAGTGTGGCTTTGGCCTCATCTACAGCAGCGGTGGACCCTCTGGCTGCCAAACCCAAATCTGCTCCCCTTTCATCTTTACTAACTAGATCCATCGTCCTCCACGCAACTGGGCAAAGATGGCCATTTCTGAGTCAGTCCTAAATGTTTCATTTTCCTTGGCAGCAATTGGCTTAGGAATGGGCTGGGACACTGTTTATTTCTGCATCAAGCAATGAGTCTGCGGGTGCTCTTCCTACAAGAGACACAGGAAGGAGGGTTCCAGATGTGATGCCATGAGCCAGCGCAGCACAAGATGGTCCTGAGAGGAGTCAGGCCAAGAGTGAAGCTGCTGCTTCAATGTCATGACAGTGAGATGGAGAGCACCTGGGACCTTGGGGGAACACGGTGGGTTAACGAAACGGGCCAGAAGCAGCCTACATCCATACTTCTTATTATACCACATTCATAAAAGTCCTGGTTTATGTTACCTAGTTACGGCTTTCCATTTCTTCTGCAGAAAGGATCCTAGCTCACCCAGAACATCATGTGATAGGGCAGCAATGCTAAACAATGGTCTACATTTCACTACTATGCTGACATGTTCATGTTCGGGAACAGAGTTTAGAGAACGTCTCCAGCGACCCCTAGCCTTGTCAAATGGTTTGCTCGTTTGCTTTTCACGTATGACTCTAGAGACGGATGCTGTGATTCGGCGTTATGCTATTGATCGGATGGAGATTCCTGGGGATACTTTACACTGGATGAAGACATTTCAGAGAGTTACCTGACAGAGGTCTTCTTTTTGAGACAACAGTTTCAGGGTCACTTCCGCTGTGGTTGTCCCTTTGTGAGGTATTAATCTGTAGAATTCAGCCATCAGCTCATTCAATTGTTCAGTCTCTCCACTTTGCAGCGCTGTCTTTACTAGAAGGAGAATGCCTTCTGCCTTGCTCACCTTTAAAGAGGACACACGATTATCAACGTTAAATCAGCAAAACAGGCCAAAGAAAAGAGATGTCAAAGTAAGTTGCCATAGACCCGTTGCAATTGCCAATTTCCTACAGGACATTTACCTGCAACAATTGCTAATGCAGGAATGAGAGACTTCATTGTAACAGAAGACATTTAGAGAAAGGTGTCAGAATCAAACTACGAACAAAAACCTCAGCACACATTTTAATGACACGTGTACTTTAACGGGTTTAACCGATGAAACCCTTTTCTCCATGAACTGTGTTCATTTCATGACACAGAATCAACTTGTCTGACTGCTTTCAGAGGCAGCTGCACCACTGGGGAAACTTCTTTCCCTTGCACCTAGCCATCCTTAAGAAGAGCATTTGCTGATGGGCCGGAAGCACACTAAGGAACTCTGGTGGCACAGCAGATGAAGCACGGGGCTGCTAACCTAAAGGCTGGCAGTTCAACTCCACTAGCTGCTCCAAGGGAGAAAGGTGGGGCAGTCCTCTTGCATAAAGATGTACGGCCTTAGAAGCCGAGGAAGCAGTCCTGTTCCGTCCTGGGGGCACACTGAATCGAGTGGACTGGAAGGCAGTGAGTTTGGTTTGGGGTCAGAAGCACACTTCCCTTTCCAAAGACAGTCAGATGTGAGAAGCCTGTAAACGTCATTAGCGATGAAAAAGATTAAGTCTGAGCATGGACTGATGATTAATCAAGACCATTCACGCCCCTCATGTACTTTCAAGGTTTTACTAGCTTATGACTAGCTTCTTCACCTACAGCATGGGCTCCAATAGTCATCTGCCCTAATGCTCTCCTTTCAGAAAAAAAGTTAATCAGCACCCATGGCAACTAAAAACGTTCATACTAGAGCCCATAATCCAGCATAAAGTGTAGAATGCTGCTTTTCCAGCCCCTTGGATCATTCCACCCACCACCCCTCCCTCGGTGGCGATATCACCGACTTTGGGAAACAGTGATCAAGCCTCCTAATGACAAAAAAAGACAAACTACAAGGCCCTATAGGACAGAGTAGACCTGCCTCTGCGGGTTTTCAAGACTAAACCTTCAAGGGAGGAGAGAGCTTCAACTTCCTCCTGTGGATCCACGAGTGGTTTCAAACTGCCAGCCAACCCTGCTGGCAGTAAAAGACTGCCTTTGATCAGCTCTCGGTTCTGAACCTTTTGATGGATAACAATGTCTAGTGTTCTCAAAAGATTGCTTCCTCTCTGCTCATTTTCTCCAGGACAACAGGGGAGAACCGTCAACCACCAACTCAGTTTGACTTCGCATTGAAGCACAGGGGTTATATTAAAGCGAATGGCCCAGGAAGCAGGTTGCTGGAGGCTGGAGGTCAAGGACCCAGTGACTTACGTCATTAAGACTCATTTTGTTCACTGGCTTCAGAAGAATGTTCTCCAGATGGCCGAGCGCTTCTGCCCAGATCATTTCCACCAAATCACTCACCTCTTGGCTCAGAGTATTTGAATTTATTACCTCCTCCAAAAGCAACTGTAGCAAAAAGGAAAAACAAACAAAAAACCCACCTTAATGAAAAGTTACTCAATTAAAAACGAGCACAGGGAGAAGTGCAGGAAGAAATCGTGAAAGCTCGAGTTAGAAGCACCCCAGCCAAGAAATAGCTCCTCCCTAGGTCTTCCCCTTTCTGGCTTCTCTCTGTCTCCTCCATACACGCGCCTCTACAGCCAAGAATGCTATCTCTTTGCTCCAACTTTAAGTTTCTGCTTGCCTTTTGCCTTCAAATGTCACCCCGTTCATTCAGGTCCTTCCAGTAGCGTTAGATACATGTGTGGGGCTTCAAAAAGTTGGTGGGAAAATTCCATGATCTTTGAATACAGTTTTCCACGAATGTCTTTCAAACCTGCAGTCAGTTATACATTCAACTGTAGTGTTGGTAAAGAATATTGAATATACCATGGACAAAGATGATCAATCTTAGAGGAAATACCACCAGAATGGTGAAGCGTTGACTCACTTTCTTTGGACACATCATCAGAACAGACTAATTCCTAAAACAGCACCCTCAAGAAAAGATGGCAAACTGGGTAGACATGCTGCCCAGACTTTCTACAACAAAGACACAAAAGACCAGATGAAGCAGATGTGGTTGAAGATCCTGGAACCCTGCGTGTCACAGCACAGGCTGGAGAAGGTGGACTGAATATCAACAAAGAGGTAGGTCTTGCTCAATAAAAAGCTGCAACAGAGGAGACAGAAGAAATGAGTGACATGTCAGGCTAGCGATTTTGAACTTTCATTGTGACAGTCACCTGATAATTGTCTCCAATCTTCCAGGAAAGCTTACAAGCCCACACTTACGGAAAGCCCCGGGAAAACTATAAACCTTCCTTGTTCCCCACACCTTCCTGGTGACCTGAAGCATAGCGGGGCTCCTCCCTCACCCCCCTAATGGCTGCGGACACCCTCCCTGCATAGCCACTGCTCTACCTGAGGTCACCTTGCTTAGGATCAGGTGTTGGGTGAATACTAACTACCCCAGTATCTGGAGGCAGGTGAGCCAGACCAGCAGAACACCCACTGTCGGACAAGTGGCCTTTTTCTGCGTGATAAGAAACTCTTTCCATTACGAGCCACCGAGCCACCATCTGTTCTCTAGGCACAAAAGAACTCCTTCTAGGTAGGCACTCTGACCCCAGACATCTTCCAGGCCCGCAGAACCTCTGTCTAGAATAGGCCGTCCTGCCCCTTCACCTCCCCACTCCATGACCTCCTTGCTTGGCGGAGCCACACAGGTGTCCTCGCGCCACAGTTTTCTCCTCTCCGGAATTTCTGTCTTCGTGTGGGTGTTTCCCGTTTCTTTCCCTTCCCTAGGTGCTCTCCTTCCTTTTTCTGACTTCCTGATTTCCTTTATTCTGTCTTTTCTTCTTCTCTATTAATAATTAAACTTAATGTGAATGCAAATGAATTCAATGCACCACTCAAGAAGACCAAGAGCGACAGCCTGGATGATAAAAAAGAACCCAACCCTATGCTATTTACTAGAGAGATACCTTAGACACAAGGACAAAACAGACAAAAAACAATGGAGGGAAAATGTATATCAGGCTAACAGCAATTTTAAAAGAGCAGAATGGCAAGATCAATGCCTGATAAAGAGTCTTCAAGTCAAAAGGCAGCATAAGGACAAGGAATGGCAGTATACAGTGGCTAAAGGATCAATTGAACAAGGTAACTGTCATACTTAATATCTATGTCCTCAATGAAAGAGCCTCAAACACATAAATCAAATTTTAAAAGAACTGAAGAAAGAAATAGGCAATTTCACAACAATAGTAGAAGACTTTAATATATCACTTTCAATAAAAGAACAACCAGAAAAAAAACCAACAAAAACACAGAAGAGCTAAATACACAATCAAGCTACTTGACCTCATAAACATATACAATACTCCACCCAACAGAAGTACAATACACGTTCTGTCCCAGGGCACATGAAACATTCTTCAGAATAGTCCAATGCAATGATATAAAGAATAGTCTCTTATCGCAATGATATAAAGTAAAAATCAACAGTAGGGAAAATCAAGGGGAAAAATAGCAAGTAGATGCAAACAGATTAACATCCTGCTTAAAAACTATAAGGCAGTAAAAGAAAGAATCCTTGTATTAAACAAGAATAAAAATACAACACACCCAAACCTTTGGGACAGAGCAAAACCAGTGTTTAAAGGGCAACAAAACACACACATCAAAAAAGAAAGAACTCAAATCAACACTTCAACATTTGCAACCACTAGAAAAAGAGCAACAAAATAAGCCGACAGCCACCAGAAACATCCACACACTCAACATTAGAGCAGAAATAAATGAAGCAGTAAAAAAAAAAATCCAGAAAGAATCAACTAAAAGTTGGTTCTC